AGCTGACAGTGTTGGATAGTGGCAGATGTCTAGTACTAAGGGCAATGACACAGAGGCAGGGACAGAGGCATGAACCTTCAGGTATCTTGCCTAACTCTGCCTTGATTTTCCCCATCTGTTAGATGAAAAAAAGAATTTCTTTCTCTTTTCCACTATTTGTACAACCACATCACCTTCAACCCAGACCATGGTTCCACACTGCTACATGCCATACACATGGGTAGTAAGAGGCAAATCACACTGAAGAGGTTCCCAGGCTACAGAAGAGATTTTGAGAGGAAGCAATGAGGAAACGCTACGTTCAAGGTAATTTAACACAGTGGTGGTAGCTGGGAATGACACAGCTCTACAGAGTGCCAGCCCAGATCCCTCCAGATCAAGCTGCCTCTGAGAAGTGTACACAAATAAATTTCATCTTGACCATGATGGGTGGTCAAGCAAGTTTTTTTGCTATTTAAATACATCACAAATATTGGCAACACAGTATTTGCTTTTAAAAAATATTAAAATACTTTCAGACCAGGTACATCTCATTACTTGGTACACCTCCCACAAAGTGCTATTTTGCCAAACAGATATTCTGCTGGAAATTCAGGATAAAACTCAAGAGTTTCAGAAGGTAGGTGTCCAATTCCAGACAAAGCAATCAACATTCAATACATAATTCACAGCAGGGACAAAAAATCCTGAGCTTACGTGTGCTGCTATTTCCAGTATTTCATTTTCACAGTCTCTGCTGGAAGCCCTTTCTCCAGAGCCACAAAGTTTTCTTGTTTTTCAAAAAATGCAAACATTTATTTTATGGGTTGAAATTTGGCTTTTTTTTTTTTTCTTAAGGTCTTGCTGCACTGATCTCTTAAGCAAGGATTTAAGCAGAACAGGTAAAATCTGGGAAAAATACCATTTAAGAGAGGAGCCCCATGACCATAGCATTCATCAGGCCTCTTGTGTGAACACAGGGGTTCACACAATTTAGGACTAGCCCCTGTTCCCATCCACGAAAGTTATGCACCTAATTTCTTGTCTTTTACTAATGCCTCCTTTTACTAATGAAAGACACAGTGGGTTCTCTGCCTCTGAACTTTTCAATGCGTTACTGCAATTTAGAAGGTGTGATATGTACACAGAAACACACTGAAGCTACACAAGAGGAGCTCTGTGCTTTACTCATCACACTAGCACTTCCAAGCTTTACCAAGCAGGAGGAAAATATTAATTAGATTTTTTTTCATAATGCATCTGCAGATCTTCAAACAATACCCAAGGCAAGCTAAATCTCACATGACATTGCAGTCATGGTAATTTTGAGATCATCTTGGTCATCTTCTCCGTTTCAATTCACTGTACCAGAGGGCTGGAACTCGTCACGACGGTGAAGGTCACACAGGTCCTTTCTAAAACTTCAGCTCAAGCTGAACTCTTTGAATACAGTCTCTCCTACACCACCTCACACGACAGAAAACATCCTCAGATGCTGTTGTGTTGAGGCTAAAGATGATGATTTAGCCTTGTAATTTTCCCTGCTTTTAGAGATGTGCAATTTTGAAAGGTAAAGCCTGCATTTTAATCACTTCTGACTGGTTCTGTGATTCAGAGAGACTTTCACTTGCAAGACATGGACTCAGCCTGGCTCTGAGGTTATAGTGATTGAAAGCTACCCACATGTTATTGATGGCCAATATGAAGTAAAGTATCAGTGGCTAAAAAACCTCTGCTGCAGGGGGCTCTCTCAACAACTGCCTCAAGATAGAGAGAAGAACTTTCCAAACACGAAGCCTGAGAGAATCTTTCACTTTGAGGTTTAGAGACATTGAGGTTGACTCTTGCTGGGACACCCAACTTGCAGAAAGATCCTCTCCCACCAACCCTGCTGCTATGTGAAGGAAAGGCCTTTTCTGCTCCATAAAGGATCCATGTTGAGAAAATGCTCAGCAAACTCATCACTTCAGAGGAGAGGGCAACACAGCTCTGCAGTGCAGCAACATCCCACCTCCTCTGCCCAAGGCATGGGAAGCAGTCATCAGCTACCTTTGCTTTCCAACTCAGCTGCCTTGAGTTAGGCAGGACCATCAGGTACAAGGAGGGCACTGCTGACCACAGGTGTCCAAATTCTCTCCCTGGTCATTTTTAGCTCATGGAAGTGTCCTTGTCACCTATCCAGGACACAAAAAACATTTTTAGAGTGACATCCAGATAAGCAATGCAGGAATGGTGTAGAGATGCATACTCATCCATGTCCTCAACAGCAGACCTGCTGGCTAAGGGACATTGTCTGGGGTTGGCACTGGCCCACCCATTTTGAGAAACATTGAGGACTTTCCAGACCTACTGCAGAGGCCACACATCCCTCTGTGTCAGAGGCACCTCCTGGTGCAGTGTGTCTCTTTGCAATCCTGAACTCATACCAAAGATCAATAGAGCTTCCCTCTGTGTGAATTTATGCCAATGGGCAAAGTATGTTAAATAAACTGCTTGTCATTACCCTGCTATCACTCCTACTCCACTGAGAGAGGACTATGTTACCATTTAGCTTATGTTGCTTTAAAACTGTCTTGAAGATAATATAAAAAAGGAACCTAACGATAAAATTTCTCTTATTCCAGAATAGGAATATCCCCAAGGGCAAGGTATTCCTACAAAATTATTATAATGCTTTAACTGCATAAGCACAACGAAAATGTCTTCTCTGAAAACAAGTCGTAACTCTATTTTCCTATCTGCAGCCATTAACCCGATAAATTTGGGAAGGTCAGCTAAGGTGTAATCCAATAAATGTGCTGATGTTCTGAGTAAGTACCTTACAATTTGCAGCCTAATCTATTATCCTACTATAAGACCATCAAATGACTCACCGGTTTTAATACTTAGTACAGATCAAACAAAGGAAAATATCAAAGCTTTACGTTCTAGTTCCACCTTTCAAGGACTTGTTTGAGTACTCTTTAATTACAGCAGATGATACATCCAACTCTGGCATTTTCTTTCTCTAACAGCTCAAGTTAGAAGCTGCTGTAGCTGTACTTTTCACAGGACATCACTATGTTAACCAGTAAGTCCTGAAAAGCCTGATAAACTGAACAAAAGAAATTAGGATTTGATCTCAGAGATGGAATTCAGCTTCTTCTGCCCACCAGATTGCACAGTGTGTAATGCACCTGGGAGATTCAGCATCCTGGGTAAGGAGGGAAAAGTCTGCAGAGCCCCCACCTGAGCTGTGGGCAAAAAGCCATGGGAACGAGCATGTGCCCCAAGCAGCACATGTCATCTTGGAGGCTGATGCCCAAACCTGGCCTATGACTTCAAATCTTCCAGAAACTTAAAGGCACCTGCAGAAGTTTGCATCTGAGTGCTGTGATTTTTTTATTTATCTTTTTTAATGGTAAAGGTGCAAAATAAAAGTGAAAAAAACAACCTATTCACAGAACCCCAGATCCCAAAGGAAGAAGTATCAGGAGGCAGTCGTCAGCAATGTCAGCAAACTGCAAATGCTCAGTAAAGTGGGTACAGAAGTTACTACAAAGATATTGGAGCTGCCCAGGGGCATTGCACAAATCTCTTTCAGTTAACTCTCGCAGTGTTTCGACACTATAAAGCATTTCCCAGTAACAGTGTGCATTTATGTGTGTTTGGCCCACACGAACAAAATGAACGTGGATTATTCAAAACAGTGCCCGAGCAGAACTTGTCTCATTTATCACAACAACAAAAACTCACTGGGAAAAGCACTGAATGGTATCTGGTTTACATTGTTGCTCTTTTTGACTGACTAACCCAAATTAGACTGTTTTTCAAGCACAATTCTGTAATTTTATGCAATAACTGTGCACATGCTGCTAGAATGAAAGAAGAGTTTAATAGGGAGGTCCCTGCAGAAGGGATGGGAAACTCAAGAGTCTCTGTGGCAGATGGACACTTCCAAAAGTGCCCAAATCTGATTTCACTTTGCTTTTGCTCAGTTCACAGACTTAAACATGTGCAATTCTAAAGAGACTCTGATCACTACTTTAGTTCTGCTCCAAAAGTATCAGTTCTCAGCTACTTAAAAGGAATGCAGTAATGAAAAGAACGAAAAAAGCCACAAACCAAAGAGAAGGCTTATACAGGTGTGCACCCATCACTCACCTATTCCTTTGATACTTTTGGCTTTAGGTGTTTTAGTAAGGTTAATACAGCATATATATAGCTGCATACATCCCTACAGACATGTAAGAAATGAGACCAGTCATGAGATTAGGAAGGAACGATGGCACACAACTGGGCACAAACATATCTGGAATGATTTTATAAGATTTTATGAGATCCCAAGAATTGCCCTTTTTTAAAGTGCCACCAGAGTGTCACCACTTCCTCTGATAGAAAGATGACATCTCACCAGAACTTAAATAGCTCCACTCAAGCACTACCTAGGATGAGTGACAAAAATTAGCCGAGCCACTGACACCCCTGCAGTCCTCGTCTAGACACAGAAGAGAAGTGTGAATTCCTGTCTGCCTTGCTGGGCTACAGCCACCCTGACAGCTGAGCTATGGTCCAAGCCACTTCATCGCCACTGATTAGATGACAAAAAACAAAAGAAAACAACTTGAGACGCAAATATCTGGATCCTTCTGGCGGCATGACAGATAAAAGTTAACAAAACGGAAAAATGACAAGAAAATAAAAGCATAAAAGTACTTGTGAACTGAGCAGGTTTTAATTCACAAGCTATTGTTGGTTAAAAGTTGAGGAGAATGAAATGCCAATTTTGAAAGTATTTCTCTAACATCTCCGTGGCAATCTAACAATCGGGATCAGAGGCCCTTCGCTCAGAGGTGTGGCAGCTTTTGAGCCGGTGCCCCTCAGAGCAGCTGTGCCCTTCTCCCCATTGACAGCCACATCTGGATGCTATCAGGAGGAACTGGCATGCCTGCTCACAACAAATACCAAGCAGTTAGCAAATTGACTCCAGAAGTCGATGCTGGCCCCTTTCCCACTCTCTGTTTACGCAACGTGCCACTAACCTGTTGAGTCCGAGGTTTGTATGGAGAGCTGCTCTCCAGGTCGGCCAGGATGCTGGTCAGAGAGTCAATTTCTGCATCTAGACTGGACCGCCTCTCTTCAAGCGTCTTGCCACCAGGATTCACCTTAAAGAAGAAAGAAAAGTTCCAGTTATTCAAACCACTTGGCCTGGTACGTGATTTCTTACTCATAAAGCTGCCACCATGCCCAACAATAACTCTCCAGTTTCAGGGACAAACAGGCTGAAATGCTATAGTTCCCTCCAGAACTAGCAGCAAGCCTCCATCTCACAGGGACTTATGCTGCTTTGGGGCTTTTCTTCATGTATTTCCCACAATGGGAAATGTGAATGAAATACACTGTGTTAAACTGACTTGGAGAATTAGAAATTCGGCAATTCGCTGCTGAGGTGAAGAGGAAGGACACCAAGAATACCCATCTGGGAAAACAGAGCTGGGGACAGGCTTGGAGAACCTGGATCCCAAGAGCATCTCCTCTGCCATGTCCCCATCTCAGGCAAAGCACAAACAGAGAAGAACTGCAAGCCATAGTGGCCAGCCACCACCCACATGCACCTATTCTTATTCTAAATCAATTCTTGGTAACTGTGCCTCTCTGATTCAACACTTCTTCACAAATTTCATCTGAAAAATGAGCCCCTTCAAGGAAGAGTGAAAAGGATCAATCCATTTCTAGGAGATTCAAGGTGAAGGGTGTGATTTGCAATAAGCAGTCAGAAAATAGCATAAATAAGGTCCTTGTAGAAAGGTTACTATGCAGGAAAGCCCAGAGAAAAATGCCAACATGCAGCCAGGACCCTTTCTAATTCAATGCATTTTGCTTTCTCTATGCCCAGCCCCACTTGTACCCAGGCTGGTAGGGACGCTCACTTGGAGGGGAAGAGACATGAATTTTCACCACCACCACCCATCTCAAAAAGTAAAACCAAGGTCTCAGCACCACAGGAGAGCATGTGATCCCCAAGCCACTGTTCAATGGCTGCACTGCAAGCCCTGCTAGAATAAGTATTTTAAAAGAGGACTCATTCACATGCTTTGTTTTTGATCAACTAACCTAGTCCAAAACTTGTGGAAAGGACCTCTGTGCTGTACAGCCCAACCCAAGAGTGGTACATCCTGACAGGGCACAAAGGCAGGTACAGATTAGGAAACTCTCCTTATGTTTTCAGTGCTTTGGAAATTAGGCAGCTCCAACAGGAATGTGAAATTTAAGAAAACCAGTTAAAGATCCCTACAGTGTTGGAAGCAGGTACCAGGAGCCAGCCCCACTGAGCCAGCCCACAATTAGGGTATGCAAAGAAACCAAAGTTCTTGAGTCAAGGGAAACATTACATTGAAAGTCTTTTCTCAACATGAGTTAATTTTTTTCTGTCTTTCCATTTTTTACTTATCTGCAAATCCCCCAGACAGAGTCTCTCCACGTACATGCAAGCACAGAGCTCAGTGAAGAGCTCATTCAGAGTTTGACGACTTCAACAATAAAAATATTAAAGAATTACCTAACAACTCACCTAATATCAACTGCAAAGCTTTTTCAGACCATACCAGCACCTCCCCACAGACAATCCAGCTCTGTTTGCCTTCACTCTCACCAAGTTATTTCAATTTTCCAAGCCAAAAATTTGCGTTTTCCTTTGGCTCACTGGCTGTTCCAGATAGTTTTTATTTAAATTTCATTTCAGGAGTATTCGATCATTACCTGTTTTACAGAACTCCCCAGTAATCAATCTGACACATAAGTGGCAAGTTGGTCAATGAGAGACAGGCTATGCAAAGTAGACAGGCTGTTAGTTGGCCAAACTTATACGTGCTGAGGCATTCATTAGTTCCTAATGATTATTAAATTTTATTGGATTACAATAAATTTGGCTTGACTAACAAGAAAATGGAAGCTCCAATGTGCTTTATGCAAGAATACACCATTTAAAAGGCTGAAAGTCAGGTTAGAAACTACTTAGAAACTCAACTCTTCTTGCCTATTTTTATTATAGAGCCAAAGTCTTTCCATCCAAACTATTGTTCAAAAAAAAAAAAAGAAATATTTTTCACAGGAATTACCCCAGACCCCTACTCCTGGATAACTGTAGGCACCTGGATTTTCATAGCTCCAAAAGTACAATTTCCTTTCCACTTCATGGTTCTTGTTTGGTTTTTCTCCATCCTCCAGTAGTTGGCCTATAACTGCCACAGGCTTCCCAGACAGAAAAACTGTGATTGCTCCACTCCAGCACATTTTTAAGCTAAGCAGCCAAAAGTCAGCCTGGAAAGGAGAGGAGAGATGCAAAGGGCATCCAAGACCCCAGCATGTGAAGTGATAAATCAAGGGAATGGCAGACCCAGGAATAAACCTGGAGTACACACAGGACCTTCTTGGCACCCTGACCCTGGAGAGAAGGGATGGTGGTAGATGAGAAGATCAGCCAACTTCATTTCTGCTTCTTAGCATTTCTGGGCCATATTATTCCCAGGTTCTCATTCCCCAGAACAATTATGCAATAGCTGACTAGCAAACACTGCAGAACAAGTTGTAAGGTTGTAAAAGTTAAATGTCCTTAGGAAACCTAGAAAAATAAAATAAAATAGAATGGAAACATCTCTATTGATTCGGGGCTCTGTAGAAGATTTACTTATTCAATTAAAACATAACCAACATAGATTAAAAGCCCAGTTCTACAAATGCTGGGGCACAACGCAGTACAAAGGTGCCAACGAATAACACTACCGATACGTGTCAGGGCCTAATGGGACAGGAATGGACTTTGAAGACATTTAAGAAATGGTAATCCGTGCAAAGACAGATTCCTGCTTGCTCTCTCTTCCCCATCTCCACAGATCTTGCATCTTCTCTCTCTCCACAGTGCTCCACATTCAGCTGAAGGATTTGGGGAAACAGGAGAAGCATTTGCAACACCAACTTCAGCAAGAGAGGGTTAAGTTATTTCTCTTCCCATGCTCTTCGTCATGACGCTGCTATAAAAGTTTTATGATATTGTTCTGGAACAAAACCCAAGCACCAGGTCCCAAGGCACAACAGGTTCACACAGACACAGCTCTGCTCCGAGGAACCCAGACTGGTTAAGCTCACAACCTCGCAGATACAAACACCGGAACCAGAAAGAACTGCTAATTCTATTTCTGTCTGGATTTATGGCATTGTTGCAGACATGTTGCTTGTGCACCCCCTCTTTCAGCCAGTAGAAGATGGAAAAATGGGTTTAAAAAGAAAAAGGATGCTATCTTTGGCTCAGTCAACGCGAGTTCGACAAAAAGCAAACATAAGCCAACCCAGTCCAACAAATTACTCACACCAGAGACCATCCACTCACGTGAACTTCTGCAACGCCTACACTCCTATCCCCTGGCTCAGTCCCTGCTGTGAGTCAAAAGACAGAAAAACAGCAGAGAGCTTCACTGCTTGGCTTGTTTGTTCGCCTCTGAATTCCTGGTGTGCAGCTCAGAACAGCTGTGATGGTAATCTGCTCCTGAACCCTGTCAACCGACTCTGCTCTGATGAAAATTTGCTTTACTTTTGCTAATCCTTCCACCCAACACCAGTCAGTGCCACAGGTCCCCCCACACCACCCCAAGGGACATTCCTTACAGAACATGCAGTGTGGATGTCAACGCAGGGTCTCAAATTTTGCCTCACTATTCTAAAAGGGTTGTAAGACTATTCACCAAGCTAAAAGACATGAAAAGCACAATGATTTCCCTAGATGTCACCTCTTTCTACAATGCCAGATCACCTATTCTCATCATATTTTGCAGCTTTCAGCAGAGAAACAAGAACACTTCTCATTTATCCAAGCCAGCTCCTTGCAGTGGGCTCAAAGAGAAGAATCTGGTTCCCAGATGTCCTTCCTAGCTCCTGCTCCAAATTCCTTTCCCTACCCAGACCCAGACACCTCTCTTTTATTCTCTGTTTTCCCCTCTCTCTATGCCCTGTTTGCTGCCCTGCAGTGCTGTAGCGCAGGACAGGCATTAGCCCCTGGGACAAGAGATGCAACATGGGATGCCAGCTTGGCCTCTGAGCCTCTACAGTAAATCACGCTGATGCCTGGTGGTGTGGATGTGTCAGAGAAACATGGAGGGTGACTTTGCAGCAGCAACCTCCTGACAAGACATGGACAGTTACAAGTAACTCCAGTGTCCCGGTGCGTATTTTCTACTAAGACAAGGCAATGGCCAAACTCCTGAATACTTTGAGACCATCAGGACTTTGCTCACCACAGTGCAATTTACCAGCATCCATATCTACTACGTCCCCATCCACCTCAGCCCTGCTCAAGTCTCATCTAATGGAGGTTGAGCTGAGCATGTTTCCTGAGCATTGTGACCAGCTCATCCTCTGAGCTGTGTCCCCGGAACACAAGCTGTCATTAGTGGGAAATGTAGTGCTGTTTTATCTGTACAGACACATCCAAGACAGCAGAGCAACAGCTAAACAAGCAACCTTCCTTGTAGCATCAGCCTGCTCCACATGCCGTGCTATCACAAGTCACTGATAACTTCATAACTCACAAGTGAAAGACTAGAGATGAACACCATGAAGGTGTTCATGAAAGGTCACACCTTGACTCAAAACAAAGCTGGGGGCCTGCAGTATCTTATGCTCCTGTTTCTTGGTTTTACTGGAAGCCCGAGGTGCTTGGGAGCTCTCGTTGAGCTGCAACACGTCAACACTGTTTGCACTTACACATCCAAGAATGGGGAAAAGCAGGGAGCAGAAAAGCCTTCTGGATCAAAGGAAGGACTAAACTAGTGAGGGGATCAAGTGGAATTTAGAAAAATCAGAGGTTGTGAGCAGGTGTAACACATATGGACTTTTGCCCTGAAAGACTTCATTGCCCTTTCCTCCAGTAAAAGCCAACGAGCCACAGCTGATAAACTCAGTGACCACTGTCTGCTTCCACCAGGCTGCACCCACCGCAGGCGCCTGTCATGCTCTGCAGGCTGTCTGAATCCTGGGGTAGGCACTGAGGTGGTGGAAAGAGCAAACAGAACAGACTCCAAACAAGGAGTGAGCCTCTCCTCATGCTCCATGGCCTTGGGCACTGGGCTTAGACAGTCACAGACTGAGCAAGAAGACTGGGGCTCTTTAATTT